AGCCAATGGGAGGAGGAAAAACTTTGTTGCACAACTTGAGATTGATGGAGAGGAAATCTCCTCTCAAGAAGAGATAGCCAGATGCTTTGTAGATCATTTTAAGTCAATTCTTAGAAGACCTCTTGATTGTAGGGTGGAAGTGGATGGTCTAGACTGGCCAAGTCTTTCTGAGAGGGAGAGGGGATGGTTGGAAAGAAACTTTGAGGAGGAAGAGATCAGACAAGCAGTTTTCTTAATGGATAGATCTAAGGCTCTTGGGCCAGATGGATTTACGATGGCCTTTTATCAAGATTGTTGAGACATAGTTAAAAATGATTTATTTGAGGTCTTCAGAGAGTTTGAGGATAATTACGTTGTTAGCTCTGGAGTTAATGCTACTTTTGTAGCGCTTGTTCCCAAGAAGGTTGTCGCTAAGCATCCTAAGTACTTCAGACCAATTAGCTTGGTGACTAGTGCTTACAAAATTTTGGCTAAGGTCTTATCATTGAGGATCAAAGTGGTACTCCCCTCTCCAATTAGTCAAGCTCAAGGTGCCTTTGTACAAGGCAGACAAATAGTAGATCAGATTTTGATAGCTAATGAATGTGTGGAGGAGATGAAGAGATCAGGTAAAAAAGGTTTTGTTTGCAAATTGGATCTTGAAAAAACCTACAATTTGGTGGACTGGAGCTTCCTCTTAGAGGTGCTAAGAAAGTGTGGGTTTGGGGAAAAATGGTGCAAGTGGATTAAGGGTTGTCACACTTCTTGCCATTATTCTATCCTTGTCAATGGAGTAGTTAAGGACTTCTTCCCAGCTTGTAGAGGCCTTAGACAAGGTGATCCACTCTCTTCCTTTTTATTCACTCTTGTTGCTGATGTGTTAAGTAGATTGATTTCAAAAGCAAATAGGGAGGAGGTAGTGAGTGGTTGGAGAATAGGAAGAAATAGTGTGCCTGTGACTCACCTTCAGTTTGCATATGATACTATAATCTTTTGTGAAGGAAGTGACTTGAGGAAGGTTGGGAACCTTAAGAACCTAATTAATTTTTTTTTTTTAAAGGCCTCAAATCTAAAAATCAACTTTGAAAAAAGTTGTGTGGTGGGAATCAATATGGATGCTCAAGAAATAGAGGCTATTACAGGTTGCTTAGAGTGCTCCACCTCATCCTAGCCCTTAACTTATCTAGGTCTTCCACTAGGAGCCAACCCAAAGGAAAGCCGGTTTTGGATCCCTGTTGTGGAAAAGTTTGGAAAGAAGTAGGCAAGCTGGAAAAAGAATTATATCTCTGTGGGGGGTAGAGTGACTTTGATTAAATCCACACTTGCTAATTTACCGGTTTACTTTCTATCTGTCTTTAAGATCCCTACTAGGGAAGCTAAGAGGATAGAGAAGATGATGAGGGACTTTTTGTGGGAGCCGGGGCAAGAGAAGAAGGATCATTTGATTAGATAAGAGTTAGTTAGTCGAAGTAGGGAGGAAGGAGGATTAGGATTAGGGAATATCACTTTTAAGAATGTAGCTCTTCTAGGTTGCTGTGGGGATGGCCTTTAGAGAGGGAGAGGTTATGGCATGAAATGGTGGCAAGTATCCATGGCTGTTTTGGAAATGGTTGAGATGCAGGGATATCCAGGCGGGCAACTCTTGCAACACCTTGGAAGGCAATTCATAGCATCCTCCCATAGTTCCTATGCTGTGTAAGGTATGATGCTTGCTTTGGGACTCGGGTTCTTTTCTGGGAAGACACTTGGGTGGGAAATTTGCCCCTTAAGGATCTGTTCCCTTCTCTCTTCTCTATTTCCCTTTATAAAAAAGAACTTGTGTCTTCCTTTCTTTTGTCCCCATATACCCCCTTGTTGACAAATTGGGACCTTGACTTCCATAGAGGGTTGAGGGATGAGGATTCCCTATCAGTTTCTAAGCTCTTATTGCTACTTGATTCTGTTTGCCTGGACCAACTCATTTCTGATAGGAAGATTTGGACTTTGACTCCGAAAGGGTCGGGCTTTCCCAGTTAAGGAAGTATGGTCTAAGCCTGTTCCCCCAAAAATAGTTGTGTTTTGTTGGGAAGTTTACCATGGTAAAATCAATATGATGAATAACCTACAGAAGAAAAGACCTTTCTTGTGTTTATCCCCTAACTGGTGTATTTTGTGCAAAGCACAGAATGATGACAGTTTGATTTCTTGTCCTTTTACTGCAGCCATTTGGAATTGGGTATTTGATTTGTTTGAGTGCAGGTGGAACTTGCCAACTGAGGTAAATTTGTTGTTTTCCCCTTTTACCTTTGTGTGGACCACAAGAAGAGGGAGAATCATGTTGAAGTGTATAGAGCAGCTCTCCTTTGGACTATTTGGGAAGAGAGAAATTCCAGAATTTTTCARGAGAAGGAAAGAAGCATTCTTGAGGTCAAAGAGTGTATTATTACAAGGACTATTTTGTGGCTGAGATCCTTAAAACTCTTTGAAGATTATTCCTTTGAAGATTTAATGAGGAATTGGTATGCAGTTGCCCTCACTTCCTCTAGGAAGCCTCGAGTTCAAGTAACCTGGACTCCGCCGATGGAGGGTTTTGTTAAGCTGAACTTCGACGGAAGTAGTCAGGGTAACCCAGGACCGTCTGGGATTGGTGGTGTACTGAGAGATGAGAACAGCAACATCATTGCTTTTTTTTCAGGACAGGTGGGAATAGGAGACTCTGTGAGGGCTGAACTCCTAGCTGCGGCACAGGGGGTACAGATTTCTTATCAACTTGGAGTGCAAAACTTAATAATTGAAGGAGACTCTAAGGTGGTAGTAGGATGGTTGGCTGACCCGGGTACTATCACTTGGAACTTTAAGGATATCTTAAAAAAGGTCAAATGGCTATTAAGGGGCATGACAGTTAGAGTTCAGCGGTTGGGTAGATCGGCTAATGCCTTGGCTGATTATCTTGCTAAACAAGGGGCTACTCAGGTTTGTAATTTTCTTTTTCCTTTGTTTTGTTCTTTAACTAAAGGGTTGATGGTTTCTTCCATCTCCCCTCCTTAAAGGGGAGGTAGCATCTCGTGCCTCTCCCTAAATTGTAATTTGGCTTTGATTTAATAAATCTGACAATTCACTGATAAAAAAAAAGGGCATATCAAATAGTCAAGGTTGCAATCTTTCTTTGCAAAACAAAGGCTTTAATTCCCCATCTTAGCTTGTCCATCTTAATTTCTTAGGTTTGCAAAAGAAACATTGTAAACTAAACATTCATATCATTCTTTTTTTTTTTGATAAATAATTCATATCATTCTTTTCTTGCATATTTATTGTCTAAATTAGCTTATTTATGAGATAGCATCAATGTCTTGAACTTAGAACATATTTTATTTCATCAACTAACCAACACCTAGGCATTGACTAGTAATTGCATCGACTAGATAGGCCAAAACAACTAGTCATTGCCCCATCACATTGATGACACTGCATGAAAGCTCTCTTGGGAGTTGGGAAATCATTTTGTCTTATTTCTCCCTGTTCACCTTGATCCAATTCYCAAACTCCCCTTAACATGTTAGCCTTTGTTGTATGGACACTTCTAAAGAGGCCCCTATCCATGTTAAGAATTTCTATTTTATTAAGTTTCATGCTTGACAAACCTCGTTCAGGTGACATAGATGTTGGCTAATCTTCATAAACCCCCCTTTAGAATTTCAATTCACCCAAATAGCATTATATTAGTCAACTTTCATATTCAGCCTAGACTCAATATGCTAAAGCCTAAATTGATGCTTTGAATGTAAAGTCAGCACGAAGAAAGGGGTTCAGCTCTGGTTAGATTTCCAATAAGCCCCAAAGGGACAAAGTTAATACCTTGTCACAAATTCTTTCAAGTAATAACTTGCCAATAACTGAAAAACCAGGACTTGCCAAAGAGCAACCATTTTTTTCTTTATTGGAAACAAGGTTCAAAATATCGATACAGTCCGATACGCTGGAAGGGGCACATCAGTCTGTATTGAAGCTCGCCTTTGTTTTTTTTTAGTTTTTTTCTTTGAAACTGGTTCAGGGGTTGGTTTAAGGTCCGTCTACACCCTGAAATAGGTCAGACCCTTAAGCACTAAGTTTAGGGGCATAAGTCGCATAACAGAGGGGCCCTGGTACGATACATATCGGCTGATACGTGACGAAATTTTAACCTTGATTGGAAAATAAATATATGAAAGGAAAAGATAGAATAAGGAAGTATAGCCTCTTGCTGACAAGAAGCTGGAGAACCTTTATTAACAATGGTGGAAATTTCATTAATTAAAAAATAAAAACACGAATGATTCCCGAAAAAAACATAGGGAAAGGAGGGATTTCAGCCAACAAATTAGCAAAACCTTGAAATCCATCTAAACAAGATATTCACTCTGGAAGCTAAGGATCTATCCTCTTTAATGTGATCATATAAGCACCAGAGTCACCCAAACTATTTAGAAGTCCACCCAATAATAGTCCAGCACTTACCTCCACCACAACTTAATTATAGCCTGAGGAGTGTATTAGCATGAGACATTGGAGTAAGGTCAAATTCTTGGCTCTATAGTGAGGTGTTAGGTCCTGCCCATACTGTTAGAAGGACTTGTGCTTTTTACCATGCTGACATCCTGTATTAACTTACAGTCTGCATATTGGCGTACAATTGTTGCCAAGGTGTAAGGGTGAGGTTTAGAGAAGCCTAGATGATGAAAATTGACAAAAGCAACCCAGAACTCCCAAACTATTTTCCTAGTCAGAATAACGTCCACAATGTAACAGAGTTAGCAAACATCAATAATTTCACTAAATAACAATGCCTCTCACCTAATAAAGCAAACTAAATCATCGAATCTGTAAGGAAATAGAAATTCAAAACGTCAATTTCCCAAATCATTAATCATCACCAGGAAGCAGCACCGAGTATGTCTATTATTGATCATACATATAAAAAAATTGGAGAGAGGAATTTATTTTCTCTGTTTATCAAAAGGGTAAAGGATTGAAAACTAGAAAAAGTAGCAAAGTAAACCTCATACCTCTTAATTCTTGTAATGAAGGAAATTTCTATCCAAGCGTGCAAAAGTGCCAGCCAAAATTAAAACCTACAAAATTCACATTCCAGATCAGAAAGAAACATGCAATATCTGACTGGAGAATTCCAGGTTCAGAGCTTTTAATTACTTAAATATCACAAAAACAATGGAGGTCTGCGCTGTTTTTTTTTTCAGAAGAGAAAGGTCATCKAGGGGGAGGAAGAAGACGAAGAAGAGAGGAGGGAAAAAAGAAAGAATTAAGAAAAAAAGAAGAAGGAAAAAGCTACCGGGAACTGGAAGGCCCCAATCGATGCAATCGATTCCTCCTCCATCATTCTCCTTCTCACAGGTAAACTCAAACCCTCGGTCGCATTCCCATCTCTCTCTCTCTCCGGTCGCATAATCGCATTCTCCAACAGCAAAACTAGGGCATCAAATGGGTCGGATCTATATCGGGTCAGTGTAGATACATTCACGTCCGGATCTGTAGACGAACATGAAACTCGAAACAACTAATGGAAACGTGGGTCGTGTTGTTAAGATATTCATTTGTTAGGATGATCAGATAATGCATAATGGATTTAACAAGGCCAGTTTTCAGGTCATTCGCTCCTTTTCTGTTTTTCCTTTTTCCACCCGAAAAGCAGTAAAAAAGATAAAAAAACAAAATATTACTGTTTGCTAATGAAAAAGATTAACAAGTATTACGCTAGGTGTATTATGTATACCAGCTGGTTGATAAAGATTCCTTCTAAGCCTAGTGGAGGCTTGGGATCGAATCCCGCGTGCTCCTGGTTGGTTGGGGATAGGCTACCACCTTCAAATACGCATACATATCAAACTTCTTGGTAGTAGGGAGGATGTAGACTTAAGAATAGGGGTTAGGGTAAAGTTCAAAGTATCAGAAATGAGTGTATCGGAAAAACAATTTTAAGAAATGTATCACGATATGTCTTGAATATATATGTGTATTCGAGAAAAATTAAGATATACATAGATATGCTTGAAAACACTATAAATATTTTAGTAAATTATAAAAATACATCAACAACACTTTTATGAAAAAATATATATTATAGCTAATTATAATTTCATTAAAAATCCTATGCTTAATTATAATTTATAAATTATAATTCTTTAAGTTTCAATGTTTTATGGGATGAAAAGAACGCAACTCTCCTATCCAACCATAAAACATGCACTGGCACAGCTTCTATGTGAAAATATAATCAATAATTATTTATTATTTATTATTCATTTTTAGAAATTATGAAAAATAAATAAATATTATATAATATATTAAAAAATAGTTACTAAAGAATAAATTTCAATTGCTTTGTGGATATGACAGATCATCCATAGAATTATAATATATTCAATCATTGTGATAAAATGATAAAATATAATTAATTATTTATTTATTTTTAATTCCAAAAATAATAAATAAAAAAATCATTATTAAAGAAGAAATTCCAATTGGTCTGTGCATATGATAGATCATCCATAGAATTATAATATATTCAATTGTTGTGATCAATAGATAAAATATAATTAATTATTATTTTTTTAATTCTAAAAATATAAAAAAAAAATCAAAAAATATTAAAGAAGAAATTCCTATTGCTCTATGGATATGATAGATAAATCCATAGATCTAAAAAATATTTAATCATTATAGGCAGAGAAAAAATTACATTTTCAAATTTTTTGTTAATTTATATTTTCCCCAAATATCTTCATGAAATTTTCATAAATCTACTAATAACACAAAAAAATGTGATTTTGAATGTAAGAAATTTAGATTAACATAAATTTAAACATTCAAGAAAAAAAATCACAAGATGTTATAAAAGACTGAAAAAACTTACCTATTTTTTCCATATTTTTTTCAAAATTTGAAAAATCTTTTAAAAAAATAACAATTCACACTTGTTTCTTGCAAATCTAGCACTCTAGAAATGAAGTTTGGAGTTTTAGAGTCACTTGGGGGTGAAAGAAGGCTTAATTCAGGGAAAAGAAGTGTGTTCCCCTTTAGTTTTTTTTTAGTTTTTGGCCATATCTTTTTCGTCGAGACGCCACTAATACGCCCCTGATATGAATCTGATATGCATGAAAAAAGATGAAACATCTGATTTTCATGCGTATCCTGTATCGGTTTTTCAAAGATACGATACAATACGCTCCGTATCAGACGTATCATATCAAAATTTTAAACCTTGGATTAGGGGTGCAAATCAGGTTGCCTAAAGTAAGCACATTTTACACCGTGCATGAGCCTTTGTGTTAGGCACATTCGTATTTTTTTGCAAAGTCTAATCTAAGCCCACCCATTTTGCACCCCCACTTTGGAAGAAAAAAAGAAAAATGTAGCACATGGGTGTGTCAGACAACATGGTTGGTTTTATTTTGAAAAAAAAAAAAAAAAAACTACACATCATCTTATGTTTTGACCACATTTTAGGGGGTGTTTGATAATTTTGTTGATGTGTAAGTTGTTTTTGTGCTCAAAAACAAAATGAACCATATTATCAAACACCCCCTTAATTTATATAAATTGAGAAATTAATAATATTAAAAATATAATTATTCTCTTTTTAATTAGAAGATGATTTTTGTCAATAGGTATATTTTAGAAAATTTGACATTATGTTTAGCACAAATGTATATTATTAGTGAAGGAAAAAACTAGTAACTATCCTTAGAATCAAGATAATATCAAGAAGTAACAAATTGTTGTAGTTCCTAAAACAACTCAAAATCATCTAGTTTCAAAATAGATTGTTTCTTAGAACAAAAACACAAAACATGTTATTGAATCTGATTGTGAGTAAGGTAAGGTTACGTACGGGGTTTCCTTGGAGGACAAGGGAAAGTCAGGAGCAGGAGGTAGGCTAAAAGTTAGTGTGAATAAAGTGATAGAATGATTATCTCGTTATGAGTTGGACTCTCATTTATAAGGAGAGACCATGAGGTCCTAAAAGAAATGAGTCAAAAGTGTTTGATTCCCATTAGGGAAGGGAGTCTTGGATTTGGTGTCAGTTGTCAAGGAACATTGATAGGGTTTTGCCATGTGCCTTATGAGATAGCTCAAGGATGAGCTTTCCTTTTGTCTAAAGATTCTCATAATACACGTATGTTACTTCCTTTCGTGACTATTTTAAACCGATGTGATACAGATGACATCACTACTTATCTCGCGTGTCCTCTTTAAGCCTACAAGGCATCCTGTCACACATGTTGTTAGCGATGCACGTGTTTCTTTTACTTGTTTTTGACCTGTGATGAACTTGCACCCATCACAATTGTGCAATGACCTTAAGCTCATCGCAAGTCCGTTCGGGTCCTGAATTCATCGCAACTCGTTTTGGGTCATAAGGTCATCACAATTGTGCAATGAGTTATGGACTCATCGCAAGCATTTGTGTAGTGTTGGTTTAGCACATTCCATGCTCTGATGGCCTATGTAACGATCATGTACCTACATTGGTTTCAAAAACATGTTTCCATCTAATTATTCAACTTCATGTTCCATAAATCATATAATTTCAATATTAAAAAATTGTTTTATTTTAAAAATCAATATTTGTTGGTTCTAAAAGCATGTACTATTTTTTGAAACAAAACCAAATTGTTTTTCTTTTTGAAAACAAAATCAAAGTTCAAAAACATGTTTTTGTTTTTTTTTTTATGATATGGTGATTCAAGAAAAAAATGAAAAAAAAAAAAACATTCTTGTTGTAGAACGCCCCTTAGATGATAGGAAAATAAGCAAAGAAAATTGGAAGGTTATTAACTTGCAATGGACAAAATCCAAAAACGACTCCAATTGCAAAAAAAAAAATTAAAAAAAAGGAAAATTCTTGATGAATACTCTATATTTTAGTCCTTAACTTCAAAATGTGCCTCTACAGTACTTGAACTTTCAAAAACTGTCTAATAAGTGCCTTCCGTTAACAATCTGTCAACTATCTATATCACATGATGATGTTCCATTGACAATCTATCAACTATCCGTATCATATGATGACATTCAACAATTAAAAATTTTCAAAATATCAAAAATACCCTTTAAATGAAGACATTGTTCATTGTCTTATGCCTTGAGACTGAACTAGTTGCTACAACCAGAACCTACACCTCAAACAATAGGGGGGTTACATATGTCCATGTGAGGAGAGTGTTGCAGTAGGGGAGGTAGGTTCCATCTTCCTTCAAAGTTCATACTTGCAACAAAAACATCCATACAGAAAAATCTTAAGTTTTCGAATCCTCTAAGACAGTGGGTATCCTCTCCTCTTCCACAAATGACAGGTTAAAAAACTTAGTCACAAAAGCCCGCATCTTATACATATAAAGTTAGTAAAAAAGCCAAGAGATGCAATTACAACTTCAATGCAATGGAAGGCATTTTTACGGTCAAGGTATCCATTTGCTACTGCTCTGCACAAGGCAGTGTCATCCAGATCTAATTCTCCACGATGATCCTTTGGGCTATTTTTAAACTGCTCTTCCTCAAGAACTTCCTTGACACGGTCTAGTTACTATGAGATTGATAATACAACTACATCAAAAGACAACACATGATTTTCATGCAATCTAAGATTTACCTGTCTGTCATCATAGACTGGGCTCCTAGATATCTTTGATGCTAGTTTGGGAGAGAACTGCTTGTGATTTACCCGTCTGTCATCACGACCGATGTTGAGTACATTGTCGCAAGTGAAGTTACCAAGGAAGCAGCATGGATTTCATCCATGAATTAGGAACTATTACATCCAACGCATCACCCATTCCACTGTTGTGCGACAACACTAGAGCCATTGCTCAGGCTAAGGAGCCAAGAGACCAGTCGAAGTCTAAGCACATCAAGAGGAAGTATCACATACTACAGGAGATTGTTGGTAGAGGGGACATCTAGATTCATAAGGTAGGATCAGCAGAGAATGTGGTAGACCCATTGAATAAGCCACTAACACAGTCTAAACACATGGATAGTATGAGACTGAGGCTTGTACCCGATTGGACCTAAGTGCAAGTGGGAGCTGTTAAATAGTGAATTCCCTTAGCTCCAATCATATTGATGTATAAATACAATTATTGCAAATGAATAAAAGTACATTATTGTTTCATGTTGTCATTGGTATGTTTCTGTGAATTTACTCCTTAAACTAGACATTTATGAGACTCGTATTAGTTTAGAATGTTCTCAGCCGTTGGATAGACTTGTGGAGTTTATCCTGCCAAGGCTAACACGTGTAGTGTGTGTTTGGTTGAAATACTAAATCCACACAACTTTCCAATTATACCCTAGACCTTGGATACTGACGGAAAAAACTGAAAAGTTACACATAACCTTTAAACTTGATAATGGTACTGCACTGTGTCTCAAATCGAGCTATCTTTGATATGCCAATCGGTGAGATCCTTTGGGGGTCAAAACCTAGGTATGTTGGGGTAGTCTAAGAATTTACTTGAGTGGGTGATCATATTGATAGGATCGACCCCTTTGTTAGAATTAATGACCGGGAC